ACGTTCGGCGCGAAAAATGGTCGGCCCGACGCAGCTCTTGCGTCAATTGGATCTTGTAGGCCGGTACATTCAAATCCTTGTGGAGAATGCGGAGCAAACTGGTTCTCGAAATGCCCAATTCTTGGGATCGACGCGTTGTTGATTGTTTCGGATCGTCTCTCACACTCTCCTTCACAACAGCAATATTTTCCGGTGTGCGAACGCTCCTTGGCCTGCCAGAGCCTGGCAGATTTGCCACAGAACCTGTTGCCTCGAATTTACGCACCAGACGACCGATGGTTGTTTCGTTTGGGCGGTTGTTTCGACCGAAATGTTCACGAAGCGCGCGAAACGTGTTTTTTATTTTTGCACCATTTTTGTAGTGCTCTTGAATAACTTTAATGCGGTCTTCAATCGAATACGACTCCATAGCGATCAATGGTAAACATTCAACTAACAAAATGACGTGTCGGTGACAGAAAACAAAGATGGCGTCTATGTCAAATTGACGTTTACTTTCCTGCGTCCCTATTGGACAACCCTTATATTAGTTTAAGTTAGTTTATGGGCACATATGTTTGTAGGCATTCAAATTAGTTACCTGTTTGATTTAACTGCTTTCAATACTATTGTGACATTCCAATAGCAAAACTTCATTGTTTTGTATCTCCTATACCATCTTTTTTTTCGTATTCATATGGTTAAGTGTAAGAAAAGCTTTAGCTAAACTTCGCCATAATGTATCGCACTTCTGTACCTTTGTAAATAAAGACGATATTATTATTATTATTATTATTATTACTTGAGGCCGAGAGCCCTTGGTACCTTCTCTTTAGCATTATATGGTATATTAGGCGGATTTAATGAGGGATCGCTTTATTTGAACATAAAGCCACATTTTCATCTAAAACCACCCGTGGCTCAGGTATCTGAAGTTGATTTTCTGACAATTCGCTGACAGATGTGAGTATAACTTCTAAATGGCCTTTTGAACCCACTTAAATTTCAAGATGCGGTTACAGATACGATTTATGATTTTGTTAATTAATTTGCTATAAAGAGGTAGGTCAATGTGGTAATACAAGTAAGTATTGGAGTTGTGTCCATTTACCTCCATGCAATAATAAAGATTTTTTTAGAACCTATTCCTCACATTTTCAAGCATGCCTTGAGTTATTTGTCTACATTCAGCTGTAATCCGCTGAGGAAGATCTTGAATGGAATCCGGCTTCGTATTAAAAACTTTACTTTTCAAATGTCACCAAAGAAAGTACATAATCTAAAGGATTTAGTTCTGGAGATCTCGGCGGCCACTTGATGGGGCCTCGTGTCCAGAAAAACTCCAACTCCATGATTATTATTTTTTGCTGTGCATTCCATTATAATCCGTATCAAGTTAGTCGAAATAACTTCACACCGATTGAAGTTGTTGAAAATGTAAGAATTAAACAAATGTTTTCATTTATTAAATCTAAAGTGTAACCCCATATCCTATTTTTGGATCACCCTGTATTGTACGGCTATAGATAAAAATACGGCCCCCTAGAGATCAAAATTGACGCATCCCAGCGTTTTTCCAAAAATAGACCAAGAGAGTTACAAATGGGGTGCAACCTTTTCGTTGAGCCACCCTGTAGGTTTATAAAACAAAGTATTTTAAAATGACGCTTGAACTAAAAATTTTTAATTTCAAGGTACCAAACCTTTATTTTTCAAAATGTAAACGTGTTGTAACATTTTAATGGAAATTATGCCAGAAACGCGATTTGAGGATTGATATAAAGCATCTAATTTTTCTCAAAATAAAGTCAATATGACTTAGGTATCTTAGGCCCTTTAATTTCTCAGCAACGTTTATAGTCGAAGTGCTATATGAAACGACACTGTATATTTTCACAATTAATGTATAGCCCATTTGTTACGCATGACTTAGCCGCGCTGGTGTATTTTTCACAATAATTTTATCAAGTGGCGAACCTTAACCAATAAAATTATTAACTACTGCTCCGTTAACACCAAAACGTTATGATTAAAAGTTGGTCGATTTGTTATCAGGGTTTAGTAATGCACTTTCCTGAAAGCGTCGTAGAAGGGCTGACCGAATAGTGATCAAGTACTATTTTAGTTACAGTAAGTTTTATAAAATACAATAATGAAAAATATCCTATAACTGAATAACTTCGAAGTTGAGTCATTTATTTTAACAGTGAGTAGATCTGATCAAAAGAAATTTTTTTTCCTTTTTTTCTGGTAAAATTAAAGTAACAAAGTTATAGCCCTTTAGAAGTTTGAGTACCGCCCTGTCTCAATAATAATATTATGTACTCGTGTTTGGCAACAACGGATATAATCCGCCTTATCGGTTCATCGCATCGGAAACAAAAAAGCGAAAGAATTTGAAACGCTTATCACGATGTTTCTACTACAATTTTATTCAGTTGTATTCAGTCAATGTGTCAGTCGGTAACGCGAGAGTGAATAGTGTTGTTTGTTGGGTGGCTCAAATGAAATAAAAAATGGCACATGTTTACGAAAATGCTGAACTTGTGGACATGATTCTTATTTACGGAGGGGGGGAGTCTTTAGAAAATGCTACCGCGGCATCACGGATTCATGCGGATCGGTTTCCCAATCGAGTGCAACCAACCCCTCGTGCCTTTGTTAATGTAGTACAAAGGGCTGTCATAGTAATTACTGTATAATTGTGGTATTTACCCAACTCCGGAGTAGTTTTATATTTCTGGTTATTATTTTAAATGTGACAAGTTAGAATTTTGCGAGGTATTGGATATTTTTGTTGTAGTTCAGCTCCATATTACTCATTACTGTTGTTGGGGATAATTTAAATCTAGTTCCTATGCTTAACAAAGTATCCTGTGTAGCCATGTACCACAAGAATATTAAAATAGTTCCTACTGGATAATGTCCACCTGTATACGGTTTTGCTAATATCTTTTTTCATCGCTTTTTTCTATCATTTCTACTAAATCAATAAATGTTCTCTTTGACACAAAAATTAATTTAGAATGGTACTTTGGAAGTAACGTTTAGTTGCTACTGTTTGATAGATGGCGCTCGGATCTTCAATCTCCTTTTAGCCTCTCTGAACGGTTAGCTGAATATCTTCAAGTGGATTGAAACTTCCAGCGCCATCTATTAGACAATAATGGAGCCAAACCATCTAACCCTTTTCAAAGTAGACTTTTAGATTGATATTGATATTTGTGTTCTGACCATGTCTGATAGATGGCGCTTGTCACTTTCAGATTCAGAATACAGTATATGGTTGGCCATCTTTAGGTAGAATACATTAATCAACGTCCAAAGTTCACCAAAAATATGTTTGTTAACTGTTCCACCAAGTTAAAAATTGGCGTCAAGTAGGTTGAATCTGCACTTATCACGCAACGTCGTTATCAGCTGATAAAGTATTATGTTCAGGACATGCGAGATCCTCTGAGCAAAAACTCAGTGAAACAGGTCCATACAATTAGTCTACTGAGAATACGCGATCCGTCTGCTGAGAATATACCATATTTCCAAGTTTAAGGGAAATATCTGATATGTACGTAGAATTACCAATTTTATGTAATGTACTAACATCAAAAAACAGAGATGAACCCCCCACCCCTACCACCTCCACCCCCAAGTTTTTTTACCTCTAAAATTTTTTAAGCTAGATAAAAAAATCGATTTCAACCCTTGAGGAATGATTGTTCTCCACAAAACGTATGTCGTAAGATAACTCATATAATAATAGAATCAATTGTCTTAATATACTTATACTAAGTGACATATAAATCCGAACACCCAGTTTAAATGGTTTTATTTTAATAAAATTTTGTATAAGTATCTACTTAATGAAGCATAATAAGTAAATGATAAAAATTTCAAAATGATTGCACTGCTTTAAAGCCCTTTGACCTTTAATAATGTGTGGATGCACCCTGATGTGCTACACATTCTCCAACGCGCCTAGGCATGCTTCTGATCAGGTGGTCAATGTCCTCCTGTGGTATCTCATTCCAGGCCACCACCAACTCCTATCGAAGTGCTTCTAGAGTCTCAGGAGGACGTTGCAAATTGAGGAATCTCCTACCCATCATATCCCACACGTGCTCAATTGGGGATAAGTCGGGAGTTGGATCTGCCAGGGTGTCAAGATAGGGTAAAAGATGGGGTTCTAGAACTTCGTGGATATAATGCTGCGCGTTCATTTTACCTCTGATGAAGATTAAAGGTGACCTGGAACCATAACCTATAGCACCCCAAACCATAACTCCAACAGTGTGATGAACATGTCTTTCAACAAAAAACTGTGGATTCCTCCTTTCACCACGTCGCCTTCTAACCCTGGCACGACCATCGTGCATGCCTAAACGAAATCGAGACTCGTCACTAAAGACAATACTGTTCCATTCCTGATCCCAGAGTGACCGTTGTCTGCACCACTCAAGGCGATTACGTCGGTGTTCTCGAGTTAAAGGGAGGACCCAGTGTGGCCGGTATGAAAACAAGCCAAAACTTCTCATTCGTCTGTAAACACTTCGTATGCCAATAGGTCTTCCGTGTTCTGCAAACTATTTATTTGCAATGGACCTGGTAGTGGAGAAACGGTCCCTTAAGGCCAATAATCTTAGGCGGCGATCTTCACGGTCTGTTGTTCTACGGCGGCGTCCAGTGCCCCTTGCTCTTTGCCTACGGCCTTGTCGAAGCCATGCCTGACAACACCTAACCACAGTGTCTACACTTCTTTGCACTCTAACTGCAATTGCCCGAAAAGAAAGTCCAGCTTCCCGAAGTCTCACTATACGGCCCCTATCAAACTCGCTAAGTTGACCGGAATGTCCAACTGATAAGGCTGAAAAATTTTTCACTTGTTATTTACAGTAAGATAAATACATTCACCAACTTTTATTAAAATAAAACCATTTAAACTGGGTGTTCGGATTTATATGTCACTTAGTATAATATCGCGACCCTATTTTCGAAAAATGTAAGTTTTATATCTTATTTCTCAGGCAGCACAATGGTGGAAGGCGCAGCGTTCAGTATTGCCAGAAATATCACCAATGGCATCATTCTACAAGTATGCGATCTCCAAAAGTTGGATAAGAAAAAGGAAAAGAAGATTGAAAAGAAAGAAAAAGGTATCTATTCTATATTTAGAAACACGTAAAGTATATTTGAAATTGACTAACCAAACTGGAGTATCAAACTTACCTAACAAATGAAGTACTTTATAGATACTTACAAAAACTTGATATCTGTATGACATGTGGCCCCATCTTGTTGAAACCACATTCTAGAGGTATTGCTTTGGAGTTCTTGCAAAGCTAGCACCAAAAAGTCTGTTATCTTATTGCAATAACTGTTAGCTTTAACTGTCATCGCTTGTCCTCTTTCGTACTCAAAAAAGTACGGTCCAATAAAACCGGTTGACGTAATTCCAGCCCACACGACTAGTTTAGGGCTGTGAAGTGGACGTTCATGCAAGCGTCGGGGATTAGTTTCGAACCAGAAACGACAATTTCATTAGTTAACATGGCCATTGAGGTGAAAATTGGCCTCATCAATAAACATCACGTTGTTAAAACTCTTGAACCAGTCGAGCATCGAATTGACAAAGTTAAGTCGGTTATTGGCATCAGCTAGTTTTAATTGTTGGCCTACTTGAATCTTATAAGCCTCGTTCTTTTGATGTCCAAATCCTGACTTCTCTTACGTGTTGGCTGTCGCGGATTTCGCTGAACTGAAACACGAACACGCTCTACATTGTCGGCTGATCTTGCAGCAACTGGTCGACCACGAGCTGTTTTTGCTATTGTCGAGCCGGTTGTTTCGAACATTCTGATCCATTTCCGTATCACATTGGCGCTTGGTACTTCTCTTAAATCGCGTAAACCGTGTTCACGTCGATACAAACGTCGTGCAGTAATAACAGATTTATTGTTTTCATAATACGCTCGAGCACAAAATGCACGCTGCGCTCCATGGCGACTAAATTTCCAGGCAACGGCGCGGCTAACAGCAAAATTTTTTACTTTGTCAAATTTCTAATACTCTAAGGGTTCCGATCGCTAAATAGGGACTTGAACTTACTCCAAAGGTAACGGTGTTCGACCGATATTCCTGGATTGGTTCGGTGGGATGAAAGTGCCAAAGTAATCTTTGATAGTCTCCGTGAACGGGATTGACATTAATTTGCAAATTTTTTTTTTTTTTATATCGAAACAGCCGCGCAGGCAGAAGCCTAAATGCCGGAACACCGCGGCTGCTATGATGATCCCAAAGAAATTTTGTTAATACGATTTTTGAACTGCCTAAGGTTCCATCGCGCGGCGGCATCATGGAAGAGAGCTCTGAGGAGCAAAACCCGTTGGTGTAGCGGTAGAAAAGAGCTAGATCGCCGACGGCCCGCCGGTGCGAAAGAGTCCCGAGACTGTCTGTTAGGGAAGAGTCATCGATCAGTCGGACCGCCCTCCTCTGGACAGCATCGAGCATGGACAATGTAGTCGGGGCGGCAGCACCCCAAATGTGTGGGCAATACTCGAGGCTAGGCCTTATCTGGGCCTTGTATAGAGTGAGAAGGTCATGCGGAGAAAAGTACTTCTTAGCCCTAAACAAATAGCCTAGCTTTTTCCCAGCAGCTGCAGCTATTGAAGAGATGTGTTCGTGCCAGATCAGGTCCTCGGTGATCTGGATTCCGACCAGCCGAAATGAATGGCTCTTTGGTAGAACTCGACCGTCCATCGAAACTGTATGAGCGCTAGGACGCTTTTTGTTCGACAAAGTACAGTACTGTGTTTTGGAAGCATTGAACTGTACAAGATTGTTGCGTCCCCAAGCAGTGATAGCCTCCAGGTCTCTTGTCAGAGAAGAAGTCGTTGCTAGTCTTCTTTTTTCCAGCTCAGCGGCAGAGATCGGCTTGTCACTCTGAATCCCTGCATGCAGAGTGCTGTCATCAGCGAAGCTGTGGATTGGGTTGATCGTGCAGAAAAGGAGGTCGTTGATATGTAAGAGAAACAGTGTTGGAGCCAAGACCGACCCCTGGGGAACACCCGCGTTGACGTTGTGGGATGAAGAGGAGAATCCGTCAATTACGACGGATATCTTGCGGCCAGAGAGAAAGTCAGCCACCCATCTGCAAAGCTTTTCTGGGAGGCCGTAGGATGGAAGTTTGCTCAAGAGGGCAGCGTGCCACAGCTGATCGAACGCTTTCGTGATGTCAAGAGCAACGACATGAGCCTCACCATGAGACTGGATGAGTTTACTCCACAGTTGTGTGACGTAAGCTAGGAGGTCCCCTGTGGATCGTTGGTGCCGGAAACCGTACTGCCTGTCGCTAATCAAGCTGTGACGTTCGAGGTAGTCCAGAAGCTCGCGATTTATGCACCTCTCCATCACTTTACTTATAACAGAAAGCAGAGCTATAGGCCTGTAGTTGTAAGGGTCGGTTTTAGATCCTTTTTTTGGGATGGGCTGTACATGAGCAAATTTCCAGTTTTCTGGGAAGGTGCCGGATTCATAAGATATCTGGAAGAGACGCGAAAGAACTGGAGCAAGCTCAGCAGCACATCTCTTCAGTACAATGGCAGGAATCAAGTCCGGACCAGAAGCTTTGTTGGTGTCGAGCGACAAGAGCACTCGTCTTACGGTCTTATGCCTGAATGTTACCTCCCGCATAGTGTGGGGAACCCTTTGAATTGACGGCACTTGGGCGTTGGTGGGGACGTCCATGGTGGAGTTGGCAGCAAAGATCTTGGCTAGCACTTCCGCCTTGGCCTTTGAGTCGAATACAATAGTTCCATCCTGACACGTAAGTGGTGGAAGGCTACTGTGTGAGAAGTTCTTTTCAATCTGCTTGGCCAGCGTCCAGAAAGACCGACTGCCATTGCGCTGCGACATTACCCTGTGCCTAACTTTTATATCATGGTGGGTTTTGGCATTGCGAACCGCTTCGTTATATTTGTTTCTGGACTCGACGTCGGCTTGTCTGTTCTCTACAGTGGGGTTTTGTAAGTAGGTTCTGTGGGCCTTGATCTTCTGCTGGCGAGCAGTGTCACACGATTTGTTGAACCAGCCGTTGGACCCTGGTTTAGGAACTTTCACTGTGTGAGGGATGTATTCCTCCATTCCGACGTGGATAATTTCGGTTATTGAAGAACAGACAGTCGACGCATCCGCGTCAGTGAAACAGACATCTCTCCAAGGAAAGCTAGAGAAGAAGTCTCTGAGCCCCTCCCAGTCGGCATGTCCGTAATGCCAAGTTTTGCGGCCTGTGCGAGTTTCTGCTGCCACAGCGGCTTCTGACCGAAACCTAACCTCCACAACACCGTGATCTGAGTTACCCAGGGGGGACAGGACAGCAGTGCTGTAAGGGGCAGGATGCGTGGTCAGAAAGAGATCCAGCAGGCTACTGGAGTGTGACGAGACCCGGGGGAAAAAAGTAGGGCTCGTCACCTGCTGGGTCAGCCCTTGAGTAAGAGCGAACGCTTCGACTGCACGACCTGCTGCATCGGTCTTATTTGAGCCCAACCAAAGCTCATTATGGGCATTGAAATCACCGAGAAGAACTACCTCTGAAGCGGGGTGATTGATGTTCAGGAAGTCGATCTGGACGGCGAGGTATTCGAATAGGTCATCCCAGTTATGGTTCGAGGGAGAGCGATAAAGGCAGCAAATAAATTTCGGTGATGTTTTGGAGTTGAGGCTAAGCCACAGAATGTCCTTCCGGTCTGATTCCAAAGAAAGATCCCTGGAGCAGGAAAGACTGCTGCGGACAAAAGCCACAACTCCCCCGTTCTTTCTCAGATTGGAGTGCACCTCGTAGTTTGGGAAGTTGAGATGGTTAATCGGTGCAGTCTCTGAGATTTTTGTCTCCGCCAAGAAAAGCACGGCGGGACGATTGGATTGCAGGTAGTGATGAACAGCATCAATGTTGCTGTTGATCCCGCAGATGTTCGAAAAACAAATTTTATCTTCGATGTTGTTCCCTCGAGCCCACCCTCCACCCGGACATTCCGAGAGTGGAGTGAGTTGGAAATGTTGTTAGATATCCGTTAAGAATACGACAGGATAGAATCGGAATTTTAACAATATTTCACAAATATCGTTTTGTAATTTGGGATCTATCCAAAGAGTGTCATTCAAGCTGATACCCCTTGAGCCCTTAACAGACTTTTAAAAACGACGCGCAATTTCGTAGTGGATTTATCGAGACGAAGTACTTCATGATGTGGTAAATAACAACACAACTCTGGTATCGAATGAGATTGAGGGACCAAAGACAGGTGACCATTATTGATATAATCTCTTATAAAACCTGAGTATAGCTTGGATAAGTAAGGGTTTTTTAAAAATTGAGATTCAAGCGCGAGAAAATAACGATAGGATGTTGAATAATCTCCTAAATTGGCAGGGTTTGGATGACGAAAGGGTATATTGTCTATAAAACGACCTGAAGCATATCGGGTTGTGGTCTCTTTGTAAATTTCTTCACATCTGTTCTCATCAGGTGACAGAAATGTTTTTTGTTTTACTGCTTCTAATTCCCAAAACTTTCTAATGGTTGATTCAAGAGAACGTTCACAAGAAACCAAGTAAGAATCAATTGGAAGTTGAGTACCTAGATTTGTGGCACCTATAAGTACCCAACCGAAGATAGTTTCAAAGGCCGAAGGTTGTCCTTGAGGTCCTGGGATTCTTCCTGGTTTGACGATTTCTGCGAAGAGTTCTGCACCTAATAAAAGGTCAATAGGACCAGGAATATGAAATTGATCATCTGCAAGTTTCAGATTTGAAATATAACTCCATGACGAAGGATCAACTGGAGCTTGAGTCATGGAAGAACTAAGTTTTGATAGAACCAAGAGTTGAATTGTGAAAGTAGGTTGAGACTGATCTCTGGGTTTGATAGCGCAAGTAGAGATGCCTTTAGTAGCTGACGATGATTGATTTATTCCAAAAACAGAGATTGAGTGTTGGTTTCTTGATATGCCCAATCGGTTGAGACAAGACAGGCTTATAAAGTTTGCTTGACCTCCGCTATCTAGGATTGCTCGAACTGTTTGGTAATTACCTTTGAATAGCCCCCACCACTCTATTTTTAGAGATACAGCAAAAATTGTGAATAAAAAAGGTACAGATT